CCAGTGTTGGTATAATCGGAATCGGGCAAAGAATATGTGGTGTATAGTGATGCATCTCATAATGGTTTGGGTTGTGTACTTATGCAAGAACGTAAGTTAGTAGCTTATTCTTCTCGACAATTAAAGACACATGAAAGAAATTATCCTACTCATGATCTTGAGTTAGCAGTAGTTGTTTTTGTTCTAAATATTTGGCGTCATTTTTTGTATGGTGAGAGATGCCACATCTACATGGATAATAAGAGTTTGAAATATCTGTTGACTCAAAAAGAGCTCAATTTGAGATAAAGAAGATGGATATAACTTTTAAAGGATTATGATTTGATCATTGATTATCATCCGGGTAAAGCAAATGTTGTAGCAGATGCACTTAGTCGGAAAACTTTTGCAGCTTTGCGAGCTATGGATGTGCGACTATTATTGAAAGAAAAAGGCGCACTATTGGCTGAATTAAAAATAAAGTTGATGCTTTTAAATCGGATAATAGAGATACAAAGGAAAGATGACAAATGCTTGGAAAAGATTTCATTAGTGAAAAAAGGTGAGACTAAAGACTTTGAAGTCAAGTCAGATGGATGTCTATATTATCGAGGAAGAATCTATATTCCACATGATGATGAGTTGAAGAAAGATATTCTTTCTGAGGCACATTATAGTCCACTGACTATGTATTCAGGTGGGACCAAAATGTATCATGATGTTAAGAGTCGATTTTGGTGGCTGGGTATGAAAAGAGCCATTTATGAGTTTGTTGCTACATGTCTGATGTGTCAACGAGTGAAAGCTGAACATCAGGTGCCTTCGGGATTGTTACAACCAATTTCTATTCCAGAATGGAAGTGGGAGAGAGTTACCATGGATTTTGTTACAGGGCTACCATTGACATCAAATAAGAAGGATTCCATTTGGGTGATAGTTGACCAGTTAACTAAATCGACACATTTCATTCTGGTGTGAATGGACTACGCCTTGGATAAATATGCAGAGTTGTATATCAAGGAGATAGTTCGGCTACATAGAGTGCCAGTATCAATCATATCTGACAGGGATCCAAGATTTACTTCAAGATTTTGGAATTCTTTGCATAAAGCTTTGGGTACTTGATTGAATTTCAGTACGACATTTCATCCACAGACAGATGGTCAGTCTGAGCGGACTATCCAGACATTGGAGGATATGTTGAGGGAATGTGTGATTCAGTTCAAGGGATCATGGGAAAAGTATTTGCCTTTAGCAGAATTTGTCTACAACAACAACTATCAAACGAGCATCAAGATGGCTCCGTATGAAGCTTTATATGGGAGAAAATGCCGAACACCATTAAATTGGTTCGAGTTAAAAGATCGAAAAATCTTGTTGGTCCTGATTTATTGAAAGAGGTTGAGGATAAATTAAAAATAATTCAAGATAATCTCAAGGTGGCATTTGATCGGCAGAAGTCTTATGCAGACTTGAAACGAAAAGAGATTGAATTTCAAGAAGGCGATAAAGTTTTTCTTAAAGTTTTACCTTGGAAAAAGATTTTACGTTTTAGGCGCAAAAGGAAACTAAGTCCAATATTCATTGGACCTTATGAGATCTTAAAGCGTGTCGGACCGATGGCTTACCAGTTAGCATTACCTCCAGAGTTGGACAAAGTACACAATATTTTTCATGTGTCGATTCTTAGAAAAATATCGATCAGTTCCTTCACATGTTATTGCATCGGAGGAAATTGAGATCTGACCAGATTTGACTTATGAAGAAGAACCAGTTCGGATCTTAGCTAGAGAAATCAAAGAACTGCGTAACAAGACGATTCCTTTAGTTAAAGTACTTTGGCAAAATCATAAAGTTGAGGACGCTACTTGGGAAAGGGAAGAGGACATGAGAAAGCTGTTTCCACACCTCTTCATATCAAGTAGGTCTTAAAATTCAAGGACGAATTTTATTTAAGGGGGAATAATTGTAATACCCCAAAAATTTAGTTAATAACCAAAATGTAAATTTTGAAAGTTTGGTGGTCAAAGTAGAAAATTTTGGGAAACGTTTATGGAATTAAGTGTTAATTTTCCTAAAAAGGAATTTTATTTCATAAATGTATTTATTTAGTGACCAAATTATAAATTTGGTAAAGTTTGGTGAGCAAAGTATAAACTTTGAAAAGTTAAAGGACCAAAATGTAATTTTGGAAAAATTACAAATGGGTCACGAAAATAAGAAAATAAAAATATTATTTTCACATTTTTAAAATATTGGAAAATAATATTTAATGGTTTAATTCCATGTTTAATTTGAACTGTTTGATTAAAGTGACTGAATTGTAACTTTTGGAAAATTTCAAGGGTAAATCGGTAAACCAATATATAATTTGTTCATATTTGACTTATGGATGAAGATAAGATTCATGTGATATGATTTGGAAGATGACAAGGATAGGAATCTTGGTATTATGGTAATTATAAAGTTTCATTAAGGGTATATTGGTATTTTCTCAATTTAATAAATTTAATATTCATTAAATGAAAATTAAAGGATGATATGCATGAAAAATATATGAAAATTCATGCCAAAGTTTTTATCATCTCTCCGTGGACGTGAGCTATACCAAGGTAAGGGAAAAATATTTGTTTTTCATTTTTGAGTCGATTCCTTTGGAATTCGGGTTATGTCCTAAAATAAGAAAGTGATATACGCGAAAAACGTTATCATTTGGTACCAATATTTTTTTCTAATCTTGCTGGATTTCAAAGATCTCAAATATAAGGGTTTATGTTCATGATAGGATTCATGAAATTTATGATAAATCTTGATGATTTAGAGGTTGTAGATTCGTTTTCAAGCTTTATTTATGGTTAAAACATGTTCAATCTTTCTAGAGATTTTTATGTAAAATTCGGCCAAATTATAAGTTGGAGAACTTTGTGTTCTAATGAAAGTTGATTAGGGATTTGATTGTAGAGATGTTAAAAGGTTGATTTAAAGTTGATTTCATCTTGAATCGAATCAAAATCATGAAAACGTAGTTTAAAGGATAAAGTATTCGATCATGATGTATCTAAGTGATAAAATGGTAAAGAACCATTTTATGTAATTGGAAAAGTTGATGTCAATGTTAAAAGGAATTATTAATTGTTAAAGATTTGGTAGAAAATGAGTTCCAAGTATATTATGGATTTTTTTTTTTGGGGAAATGTGTTATGTTAGTACAATACTAACATAAGTATTGTTATGAATTTGTGATTTTATACAGATTGTGATTTAAGTGTGATTGAAGCAAATCAATTATAAAAGAGTTATTGTGGACCTAGTGAGGCATACATATTGTGGATTATATAAAGTGTCAAGGTGAGTGCAATACATGCATGAAATGGTACATAGATGTTTTATACATCATCTGGAAGACTTGCGATAAGTCGACCCTGTTTTATCAACATCAGATTTGATATGGAAGTTATTTTGGGTATGAACTGCCCTAATGTTTATACATGGTTATACGTTTTCCATGGATGATTTAATTGATGACTATATGCCCAAATATGTTATTGAGGTTCAGTGGTATTAATGGCATGCCATAGAGTCTAGCAACTGCATAATTAAGTAGTACTATAGTGTCAAATAAGATACATAGTACAAGTCAGGTGGGTAAAACCTGACCTCAGCACTATGGTGCATTATTAGGTGAGCAATGCTCGACCTCAGCACTTTTGTGCAATTTTTGACTCCTATACCGGGTTCCTCATAGATTGATAATTGTGGGCAATAGTGGTGGATAAAAAATGATTTTATTATATTATGTTGTTTTGATTTTGACAAGGAAATTTATGCATGAATTGTGTTGCACTGTTTATTGTTTTAATTGCCTCACTAAGTATATACTTAGCGTGTGATGATTTTCACGCGTAGGTAAAAAGCCAGTAGTGGAATAAAGAATTCAAGTTGATATCAAGCATCGAGGAGTGTATATTAATATCAGTAAGACATCCTAAGATATAATGTTGACTTTATTAGTGGCATGTAATTATTAATGTTTTTATTTGCTTTGTAAACAAAATTAGAAACAAATGGTAATTTTATGAGTTTTATATATATTGCTGAACAGCAATGAAGAGTACCCACATTTTAAGAAAATTTCCAGAATGCTTCAGGGGTACCGATACCCTACTACAGGTACCAATACCCTCATTGTTCACTATTCACTATTCACAATACTATTCATTTAAAAAATCTTTTGAATTAAATTTGTTATAACGAATTATAAATTATATGATATGATATTTTTATAATATCAATTACCATTTTAAAGAAAGTAAATTTTAAATCGCTTTTGAATTGGAAAATGTGGTTGGAAATTCGGGTGACATCTATAATCTGTATAGGTATAATTGTAAAGGTTATTGGTGTTACACCAGGTGAGTGCATATTAGTTAGTATAAGATGGTTAAGGGAAATAAGACTTGCAACGAGTCTATTTGCTGTGTATAATGGTGCCGAAAAGAAGGTACCACAGACCTAACAGAGAATCTGATCTGATTCTGTTCTAACAAATCATAAACTTCCTAGCAAAACACAGTAGCTTTTACCATTTGTGTATTAATAATATTAAGGGTAAACTACGCATTTAGTACCTAAACTATCAGTTTTGATCCGTTTTAATACTTAAACTTTCAATTTTTTCAAAACTATACATAAAATTTAGTTTTTGTTTCATTTTAGTACCCACCGTTAAGTTTTGAAAAAAAATGAAAGTCTAGGTACCAAAACACGTTTAGTACCTAAATCATAATTAAGTTTTGAATTTTTTTGAAAACTTAGGTACTAAAACGGATCAAAACTGATAGTTTAGGTACTAAAAGCGTTAAGTTTTTAACAACGGGGTATTAAAATGAAATAAAAAGTAAACTTTAGGTATGGTTCTGAAAAATTGAAAGTTTAGGTACTAAAATGTATAAAAAATGATAGTTACGTACTATATGCGTAATTTACCCTAATATAAATCACACATCTCTACCTACTTTGAGAGCCAATAGATGATAAGGAACAACGTACAAGCAGCAATTACTGCTGACAGAATTAGAGTGTCCCTCGACCGCCGCCTTCTGATGGAACCTGGAAAATAGAGGCATTTCAATTAGTACAAACAGATGGTATACAGAATAAAAGCACAGTAATGAAGATACATAATGGAAGTACCAAGCAAGTCACGGATAACAGGGAACTTGTCACTTAGAACTTTTACTTTCCCTTGAACATCTCCGAACAATGTTCTTTGACAGCCCAACACTGATCTTGTAGTTTGAGCTTGATTAATCACGTCGTCTATCTATAGAAAGCAAACATACAGGTTAGAAAATGGAAACTAAACAATCCCTTGGCAAATAGGGAAGAAAAACTTGTCAATAACAAGCTATTCTGTAACAGGGCACCGAAGTTAGCAAGGCATGAGATCGATTCCCAGCAGTACCAAGGCATTAATGATAGCAATATATATATATATATATATATTATGAAACCAACAGTTAGTCTAAAGTTTATTCTGCATGACACATCAATCTCATCCTTTAAAAAAGGAGTTAGTGTACCTAAATGACGGTACAGAAGAGCTACAGAGGAAAAAGAAAGATGTATGAACAAAGAAGGATGCTTGTTTGAGTCTTTATACAAACAAGCTCAAGTTTTTGTTTGTACATGAGAAAGATGTAACACAAAACTCTCATTGGCATATCTGTTTGCAACCAATTTTGGACTTCAACTGAATTCAGCTTCCCCTCTTGTAGTCCAACACCAAATCTTTCTCTTATGGGCAAATGATTATAACTTAGTTCACATTATATTTCACTTTATACTAAAAGTACACATGATGCAAAATCCACAGCCTTCCTGCTGGCATGAAATATGATCCCATAAATCCCCAACTATGAACAACTTGTTTAGGCAGATAACAGCACCAAAAGATTCAACTTTCATTAAACGCAGGTCACTTGCACAGTGTTTGAATTTTAGACCAAGATCCTTCAATTGCAAGAATCAAGGATGTATTTGGCGCTGATGATCAGGAGGAAAACAAGTATGCATCATTAAGCAACCAAAAAAAAAAAACTGATGGAACACCGACATCTAAGCGTAGAAATGCTTGTCGTAGACAAACTTGGAAATATGGCTTTGCTATTTTGGCTTATATATTTTGAACTTGTATTATTTGTAGGAGATTGATTCTAGGTTCATGTATCTCATATAAAAAATGGTTTTTTTCAAAGCATTGAGTTGGTTTTTAGTAATATGGATTTGAATTTTGCAACTATACCATGGATATTTGACAATGATGATTTCGACTACTAAGGTTTTTGGGTTTTACATACCAGGCATTTGCTTTAGTTTGACCAACAGGTTTACCAGTTCTGTTTATAACATGTTTGTTTGGTGCATATCTAATCTAAAACCATTAAAGAATTGCAAAATAGAACACATTGCAGTAGAAAACAAAAGGAGGTCTTTTGACAAAGCATAGGCCATGATAAATACTAATAAAAGAATATTTAAATCTTACATGAGCAATGTTTCCATGGATGGCAGCTCGCTCTCTGAGTAATTGCATTCTTGGTGACATACTACCGGATGCCTGCATGATGGAAAATAGTTGAACTTTGGGAAACAACATAGTATTGGCAATGGGAGTGACAAAGCCAAGAAACTAAATCATATGACTACCTTGTACTCATTAATATCATCTCTGACAGAACTCAGAAGCTCTGCATGTTCCTTCATTGAGTTTATGTTTCCCTTGATTCTTCTAAACTCATAACAAAAATGTACCATTAATTCAGAAGGATGGAAATAATAATAAAGTTTTCCAAATAGGTAATCCATGGAACATTGGTGCATCAATATACAGTGCAACGAACCAAAGTATCAAATACAGACAATGACAGTCTAAAATCATAAATTGGGAGTGAATGAATGCATCTGGGGTTAGTTCGATCTATAACTGATGAAAATGAGGGTGTAACTGAAGATATTTCCATTGAACATGGGAACATAAATTTATAATGCAATGAACCGAGGGTGTAACTGAAGATATTTCCATTGAACATGGGAACGTAAATTCATAATGCAATGAACCAGGGTAGCGAATAAAGAACTTACAGCGGCCCTGGGTTTTGAGTATACAGTGTGAAATAGAAATCTATTATTTTTCAGAAATTGAGAAGGAATTAATGAATTTGAGGATTAATTCAATATGTACTGCTACCAGCGTTAGTGCCACTCTTCTTCCGCTTCTCTCACAGTTCAAGAAAAGAGGAGATAAGGCCAATTCTAAGTTCTAACTGCAAATTTCAACAAGACGGAAAACCACAGCGTTTGGTTCACGGAATGTAAGATTACCAGCGGGAATAAAAGATTACCAGGGAATAGGATTACTGGGAATGTTGTATTTTGTGTTTGGTTGGTTTAGCAGGAATGTAAGATTACCGTGTTTGGTCAAAGGAATAAAAGATTATTGGAATGTATATTTGACCAAATTGTCCTTATTATATATTTGTATAATATTACAAATTGTAAAATATTTATATATTTTATTTAAAAAATTAAATTCATAATATTTATATAATTTTTTTACAAAATTAGAAATATAAAAAATGTTTAATGAAAGGGTAAAAAAAATTTAACCCCTAAACTTCATATAAAATTTTAATTATAGATTTTTTTTGTAAATCTAAAATAATTTAAGGATAAATTTGTAATTTAACATTCGTAGAATTTTTATTATTCAATGACAGAAGAAGGATATTTTTGAAAAAAAATAAAAATTTAAGGGCATTTTAATCCAAAACGCCGGTAATGTTACAATACCTAAGGGAAGGGAGGTAATGACATTCCCGGTAATATACCCCAAAAATTCTACTATTGGTAATAAAACATTACCGGGAATGGGATTCCCGGCCAACCAAACATGGGAATGTGGTATTCCCATCCCATGGGAATCCCACATTCCTTGAACCAAACACCCCCTAAAGGGTTTTATCCATCCCCATTTGTCCATTTAACTTCTTTTTTCCTTGAAGTACCCATGTAGAAATCAGACCAAATAAAAAACAGACAGATTACGTAAAGAGTTCAAGCTCTAAAGTTCCTGATAATTAAACATGGAAACCCGAGTTCTAATAACAAGGCTAGATAAAAATTATAGCATAGTCCGTCGAAACGATTTTTAAAGTGTAGGTAACGAGATTTTGAAAATCACGTCATTTTTAATTATTGATCTCTTTGATTGATTTTTAATTAAAAACAATGTGATTTTAGAAAACCCCTCGTTTCGAAAATTTGAAAATTCTTTTACGATAAAAACATACGGTTTGAGGAGTCGCCACCAATATTTAATTAGGGTGTGATTGAGCACCAAAAAACGTTATCATTTTATAAAAATTAATTTTAATTAAAACAACAAATTTGCGGTCTACGTTAACAAAATCCGGGTTCGGGAACCGGTTATGCATGGGGAAGGATTAGCACCCCACAACGTCCTAAATCGGTACCTAGTCGATTACTTAATGTTTTTGCAATGAATTTCACAAGTTCGAATTTGATTTATGATCCCTTAAAACAACAAAAAATGCAAATTTTATAACATTCAAAAGCAACAAAATAAGTTAAATTAGGATTACCAAGCCACTAGAAAGATAAAGAGCATTCGATTATTTAAAAATATCGAGATCAGATCTTTAGTTGAGTTCTAACGACATTTTCTGGAAAATTTTAAATAGTCGAATATTTTCTTTTCTTTCGTTTCCAAATTTTACAGTGATAGATCCAAATTTAATTAAGTGTTACTGACGGGATACAATTTTAATTTAAATTTGTCAAAATAACTCTCTAGTTAGTTAAGAGAAGCCATTCCAACAGTTTTAAATTAAAAGGGTATTACCCTTAATCCGATTATGTGATTATGTTAAGTCATGCAAATGAGGCAAACATGCATAAAAATTTTACACCTAAATCTGTGCGTATGAAAAAAATGCTTGAAACGATATATTCATGCATACACTTAAAGTAAACCAAAATTAAACCTACAAACATGCATAAAATATTAAATAAGGGGCAAAAATATAAAGAACAAATTTAAAGCTAAAGCATAAAGAAAATAAACAACAGGTTTTTTACTCGTAAAACTTCATTCTCGGGTACTACAAACATAATACAAACAAAGTTCTACATAGGATCAAAACGAACATTTCCCAAATTACACATCCAAAGTGAAAACAACACGAAAATATCCCTAAACTGATTCTGGACTAAAATAAAATACACAGAAAAAGTAAGGGTCAAAATCAAAATCCAGAAGAGTTTGGTTTCGGGACCAAAACAAAATGGGTCGAAGATACGATGGCCTAAATAGATATTATCCATTTTCATAAAACGCAGACTTCCCCAACTATCAAAACGCCGCCGTTTCGACACTGCTCAAAGCAACCTCGTTTTGATGTATTAATATATGGGATATTATGGTAAATTTTTTTAACCCTAAATCATTTCTACTCAGCCTAAACTAGTCAAAGCCAAACAACTCCCCCCCCCTGGCCTTTTCACCTCAAATTCTCCCCTTTCTCACTCGTCGAACCCTACCCGAAGCCAAAGCCTCAGCGGCCTCCACCGTATCCCATGACCCCGACGAAGAACCCCTAAGCCTCGATGAACCTAGACCTCAAATCTTCACTCTTACCAAAACCCGAGACCTAGACCTTTAAAACGAAACCCCCTCCTCTGTCGAAACCCCGACGAAACCAAACAATAAAACGAAAAGGGAAGCGATGGCGTACCCTCAGTGATTCAACGGGGTTCGGTTTTTTAAGTGACTGTGATGGTTCTCCTCTTCCACTTAGGGACGTCAGTGTTGCTTTGCTTTAATCTCCCAAAATTTGCGGTTGGTGTTGATGACTAGTAGATTAGGGTTCTCTCGTACAATTCGCTAATGGTTGGTGATTGTTGATGGGTTTTCATTTTTCCCTCTGGTTGATGTGTTTTCGTTTTTTTCTTTTTGTTCCGTCTTTTCTCGATGATAGCTGGTAACTGATTTTTTTTTCGTCCTCCCTATTTGCTGTGTACTTATCCTCTCTTTTCTTCTCTTGGTAATGGTGGATCACTGATATCCATCCCACTGCATTCTTGGAAAGCATAAACAAATGTTGCATGGCACGGTCTCGAGCATGGGTGAGCATGGGCGGTAGCATCGGTCACAGTGGATGGCCGACAAGCATGGACTGATTCGCACTGTCTCGGGGTTCTCTATGCACGCTGGCTCGAGGCTCGTGGAGGACTGGGAACCGTTAGATCTTGTCAGATCTAACGGCCTTCATGCTGCGGCGCTGGGTAGCAAGATGGAGGCTAGGGTTTCTTCAACCCTAGCAGCTTGGGCTGCCAGTTCGTTCAGGCCAGCTTGTTGGGCCGCTTGGGGTCTGGGCCATGGTTAGAGTTTGGGCCTTTTAACACTGGGCTGCTCATTCTGGGCTGTATTCAATTTTTCCTTGTAATAGGGACTGTAATAAAACCAAAAAAAACAATTAATTAGTATTTATTTACTTATATTTATATATAAGTAGGACATTATTTATACGTACTCATAATAATATACATACTCGTATGTATTACTAATATAAAGTACGTAACCCCTATGAAATCATATTACTAATAGCTTCAACTAATATCAACCTATAGAATCAATAACCGAAAAAGAAAATAATAAAAAAGATATGCATATAAATTTGAAAGACGCCCCGACTAAATGAGCATCTACATAGTCAACAAACAAACAAACCTGAATAAACTCATGTAGTATGTCTATATGCCATGCAAGCTTCTGGGTCACCGATGCAGCTGATGCAGCACATCTACTCATGGAATCATTTATGTCCAGTAGCTTCTCAAGCAATGATTGAATTTCCATTTCCATAGACTTCCATGACCTACTTGACCCAACCGTTGGAGAGCCAGTATCTAGATAAGCTAAATGTGAGTACATATCACTACAAAGGAAAAATAAGGAAATCTAACCCGATTCCTAAGGCTATTTATTCCTAAATACAAATAACGAAAAATATGCTCTCAGGTATGAAAAGAAATTCAAGCCAGTAGAGATTGTTCGGTTTTTAAACATATTTAATCGGAATTTCAGTAATCTACCAGAGGAATATCAAAATGAAACTAAATAACACGAAACAACAAGCATTCGGAACAGAATTCTAGAAATAATAAAAATGAAAAAGGTAGCGGTAAAAGAGCAACCTCCTTGGGTGAACCTTGAACCGAGCTTAGCATAAGAAGAGAGTTTAACATCGAGATCACCCTCGATCTTTTGAGCCTCTCTCCTCAGTTCCTCCCAACCAGATTCTGGCAGATCCAGATTTGGATCCGTCATTTTGGATCTTCGTCGTTCAAATTCGGATCCCTCGCTGTAGTTTCTTTTGTTTTATAACTCGTTGAGTTCTTATGTGGATCCAACGATGGGGATTGGCTCAGTTATTATAGTTAGTAACCCTCCTTCAATTACAGAATTCAAAAAAAAGAAAATGCTGTTGAGTGTAGGAAGCTACTTGCTTGCTTTTTTTAAAAAAAAAAAAAAAACTCTCACGGCTTTGATTTTGGATTTTGGTCTACTATTTCTGTGAGTCTGAGGGTGAGAGAACGAACATCTTGACTTCATTTTTCGATTTTAATCGAATTAGCTGACCAAACTGAATTAATTCAGTTAATTCGGTCACCCACAAAATTAGTTTGTTGGAGAACGGTTAATAAATATTTTAGAATTTGGTTAACGGTTAATTCGGTTCGAAATCGGTTAATTAATCGAATTAACCAAGTTAACCGAAATTAAATTTTAAATATATTATATATAACATATGGGCTCAGCCAAAACCATTTAAAACCCAATTAATAATTTAAGATCCAATAATTTTTAAACCTAAATCAATATTAATTAATTAAAAAAATTCATATAAATTTTTATTTTATAATTATATATTATTTAAATTAATTGTAAAATGTTTTTTGAATTTAAAAATATTCAGTTTTTATATAAATTAGAAAGTTTTAAAAAAATTTAGTAAATTCGAAAATTAATCGAATTAACCGAAATTTATTCGGTTCGGTTAATATTTTCAAAAAAAAAAAGGTTCAGTTCGGTTAACGGTTAAAGAAAAAAAGTTCAGTTAATTCGATTAATGAAAATTCGATTTAGCCGACCACCGTTTTAACCGAAAACATCCCTATTTTCTATGGTTACTTCCCATCTGAACCGTTGAACTATTTATTTATCTTTCTATCTAATAATATTTTTTAATCAAAAATATTTTGAACTTAGAAAGAAATTGTTTATGTAAAGGTTAGTGGAAGTTTTATATAAACGGATTATTTTAATGTTATGTGTTTTATTTAAGATTATTTTTCACGAACTCTACCTTAGTGATAAAATAATTGTTATTTTTTTTTTGTTTCAAGTTTGAGCATCAGTATTATCAGGGGTATAAGCGATTAATGTCAAATTATTGAAAGTTATCTTTAAACAAATACTATATTATATTTACCTCATATTAATAAAAAAATATTTAAGATTTTAAATTTTGATCTTTTAGAATTTATGTATCAAATTTAGGGTATTAAAACTTAAGTTTTAATTATTTAAGATTAAAAAGTATCAATTGCGTAAATAAATTTTATATAGTATATGTATTAAATAATAATATAAATTTAAGAGTTTTGTAATTTGTTCAATAGTAAAAACTCTTCCAAAAAAATCTCTCCTCAAAATATTTTCTCTAATTTTTTCTTCTCAATTTTCTTTTTTACAATCTCAATATCTCTGGCATAATATAGTCCTATCAAATTTAGGGGTGCTTAATGAGTTGAGCAACTCAAACTCGACTCGGTCAAAACTTGACTCGACTCGAGACCTTAACGAGTTGAGTCGAGCAAATTCTAGCTCGACTCGATAAGTTAGCAACCAATTCGTTAAATTTTTAGTAGTTATCTTAAAAAATTATTTCATTCAAAAAAATTACTAATTTACTAAAATATAATAAAAAATATGATAAATTTGATAATATGTTAATTTTCTAATAAACAACAAAAAATACTAAATTATTAGTTAATATTTTACTACACTCAAAAATTAAACTCTATTTATTATTTTAATATATTTGTGGATTGTTACTTTGGAATTTAGATTTTGAAAATGCTTCATACACTCTTTTGATAATTTTTTGATTAAATTTATTAATTTATGTTTATATTAAGCTCTGTATAGTGCATTAGTAGATTTTATCTATAATTAAGAAAATAAGGTAAAAGTTTCAGTGAACTTAACGAGCATCGACCTTAACGAGCAATGAGGCGAACAACGAACATCGAGCTTAATGAGCAACGAGCATCGAACTTAACGAGCAACGAGCTTAACGAGTAACGAGACAAACAACAAGTTTTTTAACGAGCACGAGTCGAGCAAAATTTTAACAAGCTTAACGAGCAACAAATTTTAACTCGACTCGTTAGCACAACTTAACTCGCGATTGACTCGCTCGATAAGTACCCCTAATCAAACCCATTCTCTTATTATTATTATTATTATTATTTTTGTCTTGTAATGTTCTCTTTCTCGTCTTCATTTTGTTTTGGATCACTTTTAAAAAAAATATATTCACTTGTTTGATCGAAGGCACCCTTCTTAAGGGTCTTCTTACGATAAGAGAATGAGTTATCCTTCCGTTGCCTGAAGATAGATCTTAAAGCTCTTGTTTTCCGTTCGCTTCATTTTCTACTTTGTTTAGTCTTTTCGCTTTTCATACTTTCTTTGTTTTACAAGATCTCAACTTTTTCTCTCTCGTCAGTGGTAGAGTGTTCTCATGACAGATCTTATAGCTCCCTAGATCGGAGCTTAAAAATATTTAAATTGTTGTGTCGTAATTAATAGAATTTTTAAGTGGGTAGATAAAAATCTTGAGTATCAGTTTTCTTTTAAACATGTCAATTATTTTAAAATGACATTAGTATTCATTTACAATAGTGTTAATTTTATTTTTAATATTTTTATATAAAATTTATAAAATTATAGGTGTCGATTGAAATCGGTCAAAATAATTTTAGAATATGTGATGCATAGAACTAGTCAAAAATCTCTTTTTATTTTTCTAGTTTTTAAATTAGATTTACAAATTATTTTTATTTATAAACTTTTAATGCATTATTAGTAGACTCTATATTTCAAGATTGATGAATCAAGAGCTTCGGTATCAAATTCACAAGAAGAAAATATAAAAATAAGCTCATAGCATTTTAGCAACAAGAAGAAATATTATTGACAAGAAATACCAACCTTAAGGAGTTCTAGTGTGCTAAACTGTTAAATTCTTTACTATAAAACACTTGTGAACTATCATTGTCAAAACTATTCTTTCTTCTTTGGTTGTGAGCTTATAATTGCAAACCTATAATAATTGTATGGATTACTTTCATTTTACTTTATTTGTGATTGCAAGTAGTGTTTAAGTTAAACTCTAAATCATAACTTATCTAAAAAAACTATCTCCTAATTTGTAGAAAAGATGACTCATATCTTATCTAGGTCTCTAATTCATGTATATAAAAATCTCATGTATCCTCTTGTGTAATATGAAATTGTTCTTTGAATAAAAATAATTTCAGAATCAAAAACCATGTTTACCAGAGCTAGAAAACTCTGTTTCTACATGGTATCAGTCACAGACGTCGATCCCAGCCTTGCTACCTCCGCTGTTCGTCATCCTTCCGATCAGCAGTGTGCTTTCTATGCATTGCAGTCCTTCCAATTGTGAAATTCTTCATAGCACCGCCCCTTACTACACAACCACAACAGTACCGCTTCTATCGTAGCATTGCTCTCCTCGTCGTACTGCTCTTGTCACGTCGCCGGTCTAGCATTACCCTCATCACAGTGGTAACCCTTCATGTTCTGCTATTTGGTACTTGTTCTGCCGCTATTGGTAACTGTCCGACCAGCACTGTCTCCTCTCCTCACAGCCCATTCGATACTCATCCTAGCGCCGATCTCCTCAAATCTCTGATTGTCACTTATAGCAGTGTTCCCTGCTAGTTCGCGACATATCCCAAGCTCTCAATTCCTCGGTAGTCATGGCATATCCTTCTTCATCCAACCTGCCATCCGAGGTTGAAACTTCCATTGTTCAATCGTCTCCTTCCGACTCGGTTTCCTCGTCCATTACTTGCCATCGTCTAAATGGTGAGAATTACATTGCTTGGTCTAAATCTGTGCGTCTGTTCATCACCAGTCACCGGAAACAACAATATCTCTATGATAATATGTCGGTCTCCGATCCCTCCGACCCCCAATAGGACACTTGGCTCACTGAGAACACCACGATTATGTCTTGTCTCCTCAACTCTATACTGTTTGACATTAGCGCGAACTTCATGCTCTACACCACCGCCTCGAAAATCTGAAACGCTGCCAAGTAGGCGTACACTAATCAAGAAAACTTGTCCGCTCTGTTTGCCATTGAATGCCCAATCAATGACTTAATGCAGGGCGATCTCACTGTTACCCAATACTTCACTCAGTTGTCTTACTTATGGAAGCAAATTGATCTGTTTGAGTATCCTAATTGGCAAACCAGTGCAGATGCCAAACTCTACAAATGGCTACTTTAAAAATGATGTATTTTTCAATTCCTATCGGGACTGTCTGTCTTTCTTAATGATGTATGTGGATGGATTCTAGGTATTAGGCCTCTTCTGTCTCTTCGCGAGGTGTTCTCTGAAGTTCACCATGAAGAAAATCGTCGCTCTCTGATGCTTCCTCCACCCGTTGAAAGTTCTGCCTTAAATACCTTTCATCCGGTGACACCTGTGTCAAGAAAGGCCGTCCATGGTGCGATCACTATCTGAAACTTGGTCATGTTCGTGATAAATACTGGAAGCTCCGTGGCCGTCCAGCCAACTGGACTGCATCCAAATCCTCATCGCGTCCATCTCATGGTAACTCTGCTATAACGACATTTGAGGGTTGTTCCTTTTCTCGTCAACAGTTGGACATTCTACGGAAAATGTTTGGACATTTACAGATTCTTTCTACTACTGAGTCCAAGTCTACATGCACTGTTAGTGAAGGTAGTTCTCCTTTTACCTTCTTATCCCCTTCACCAAGGTGTGTCTCTTGGATTGTTGATTCTGGAGCAAGTGATCATATGACGGGCAACTTCAGTTTATTTTCCACATTTCACAAAAAATGGTATTTCATGCAGTGTTCGTACTACTGATGACTCCCTATCACCGGTTAAGGGAAGTGGCTTAGTTCACATCAATTGCCACATTACTCTGTCTAATGTTATATTTGTTCCAAGTTTGACTTGAAATCTTCTTTCAATTAGCAAATTATCCACCGATTAGTGTCGTACTTCTCATTTTACTCGTGATTATTTTGAATTTAAGGATTTTACCTCGGGGATGGTGATTGACAATGTTAGGCGTCGTAGTGGACTCTACATCTTTGACGCTCCTCCTTATACTCTAGTT